AAAATCTGAGCCTCATATCGACTGGGTGTCTCTCCTAGGAATTGCAAAATACAGACAGGAGAGTTGGGTGCCACTGGGTCCTGGGGAGGACTGAGGAGGAGGCTGAGTCCTGCTGAATGGGAAGCAAACCCCAAGGCCTGCAGGCACCTGGTGGGTGGGGATATTGCAGTATTTCTGCAGCCCCTCCTAAGGAGTAATGCCTGTTGGTCCAGGGGTTGGGGGAGTTCAGGGGGTAGGATGTGTTCCCTTATGACTTGTTTTCAGGTGTTTTGCAGTGGTCTTGACTCGTTGAAACTGGGAACCAGAAGCAAGGAGCACAGAGGCGTGGCTTCAAATTAACTCTGTCTCGAGGCCAATTGGACATCACAATACCCAATCCTGGCTAATCCTACAAAATTCCTCCGGAAAATCTATAGCAGTTCTGTTCATGGAATTCCTTCGCCCAAGGGCACATCATCATCATGTGGGTTGCATGGGTAAAACCAGAAATGCACGTTCCAAAACAAAATGTGAGGAATTGTTTGTTTAGCTGCTAAAAATATATATGAAAAAAAAATCAAATGAGTATAGTACTTAGTTTACGTCCCTTTAAATTTAAACATGTATCTTATTTGAAGATGAGTAATTAGTTTAAAGTTATGATGGAAACATTTTGCTACTTACGATATCTTCTATTATTTCTTTGACTGCTGCTACAACTAAAATAAATAAGAGAGGAACCAATGTTGTATACCGTCCTGTTGGGGAAACATCTGGAATTTGCTAAAGCATAAAAAGAAAAGTGCATTTTAATATTAGTCGTGTTAATTGTATGAAAACATGTTCAATAAAATGTGATAACAGCAGAATCCACTTAAACGCCAATGAGGAAAATTTCTCAAATAGGTAAATAATAATTACAATGGTTATTTCTATTATTATCTACCCTAGTTACAAGTAACTATTTCTTAATAAACTTTGTATATTTATAATGACTAAAATATATTCCAATACCGATAGTAATTTGAGGATTTTTAGGCATTATTGATTTAGGCATTACTGATCTATCTGGACTAAACTGTGAAGTTAGGAGAAGTTTATTGTCAGTTCATGATTTCAGTTGATTTGAATTCCTTTTATCACAACTTAAATGATTTTAAAACTTACCCAGCAATAAGTATATATAAAGTATTGATACCACTAATGGCCCATGTCTTTAAAAAAATACCCCCCCCAATTTTTATTTATTCCAGAGTAAAAATGTGTAACATGAACATACGTTAAATTTAATCTCATTATCCTGACAGCCTTTAATACAATAAATACTACAGTGTAGAACCTGAAGGCAAATAAAGTCTGACATGATATCAAAGAAATCACATAACAACTTTCTAGCTGAGAATTTATGACTCTTTTTACTTGTTACATTAAGCTCTATAGAAGCACTGAGGCCAAAATATATGCCCAATTACAAAGTTCAGTCAGGAGGGTTAAACTCATTATCACATGACAGATAAGAAAATACAAGAGTTGGTATTTCCTATGCAATTAATGCTTACATCATAAACACTCTCTATTATACTGATCATTACACATGGACAAGAAGAACTGGTAAAGCAACTTTTGGTTTAAAGTTTAGTACAGCAATATATGTGTTTCGGGAAATATTGCTTACATTCTTCAAAAATGATTTGGAAAAAGTGCTTTGGACCTCACTTGAGTACAATATCTCTTCGTTAATCATTGAATTGGGGTGACTCCCCCCCAATTCATTATAAATGATAAACTCATTATAAATTGAATGCAACTCTTAAAGCATTTTTTCTCATAACCTGGTAAATATCAGACTAAGTGTCCCTAACCTCTGCTTCTGCAGGGCTCAAAACACTTCTTAGGAATCTTTTCATAAGAAAAGGTAAACAATATATTTGTTTGTTCAATTTCCATGGCCGCCCATTTCAGTAAATCTCTCTGAGAAGCTTACAATTCACAATATACGTTATGGTTAAAAGTATTAAAAAAAGTTTAAAACAATAAAAGCAATAAAACTGTATTGAGAAGGAAAAAAAATAACCTCGCCCTGGTTTAAAATTTCACTCCCTAAGAAGTTCTAAGATTTTATCTGAACTTAAGACATTGCATAATGAAAGCCTGCAGCCACGGAGGACATTGCAAATAATTGTATGACTTCTAACAATTAAATGTTACTGGAGGATAAAGGGAAGGAGGGAGCAAAGCACTTAACACACATTCTTACCTGAAGCAATGCAATGAAAAGAAAAAAGGCATTAGCAGCTCTCCTGAACTGGGAATAAAGGAACCTAGGCAGGAATGTGATAATGTTGTATTTTGCAGTGCTAAAAGAGGGATTAAAAACAAATGGAATTAAAGACATAAAAAACAGATAAAATATGCAGAGAATACTAAGAGAGATTTTAAGAGCTAATGCAGCATTTGTATGTCTAAATACACGTCTTCCTCCTCCTCCTGGCAACCCCCCCTCCCTTTTGCCTGATGATCTTATTATCTGTCTGCAAGAAAACAGCCAAGCTCAGAGAGCATCAAGGACCCACCATAATTTGTAACAAATCAGAAACATCCATGGGTGACGTTTAAGGACATACATGGTTAAAGGAAGCATAAGCACCATTCTTTCAATGCGCACATAGTGATATTGCACACACATAACAGGTCAGAGCTAAAGATGCAGTGGCAGAACAGTGCTTTGGCTTTCATCAGAGAGTATGTAAGATAATTGTACAAAACTTTGGTTACAAATACCTGACATGATTGCTACAGAACTTAGAGAATTGTGGTTGATTGATGAATATAGTTCTCACTTCCTCTTGATCAGCTAATGAGGTTTTTTCTGAAACATCATCTGTCTTCTCATAACCTACAAAATATTATAAATCTTGATATGTACATTTAAATTCTGCAATGATTTAAATGAAACAAAAACCATTTTTAAACATTAGTGAGAAACACAAAAAACATATTGTACCTATTATTGTATCATTTGTATTCATAAAATTAATCTTTTAAATTCCTATTTAAGATGATTACATTTTTTATCTTTCCCTGGTCTGTTAGTGACATGCTAAGGTAGCTTGTCTAGCTGCTCAAATCATTTAAATTAAATATTTTGATTTGACAGATGTACTTTAAATGTTACTTATTTATGTTACAATAGTTGCAGCCTGTCCCAAGCTTAGTATACTCTGGTCAGGGACTTACTTGTTAAAAGTTTTATATGGCTGAAGCTTGCAACTCCCAAACTGTTTCAGTAGTATAAGCCAAAAATAATAATAACAATAATAATGTGCAGTTAAATAAAAGCCAAGATAACTAAAAGCATTAAAATAAAGTGTCAATAATTTTAGTTACGGATAGCAACCAATATTAAGTAACACCACTCCCCTGAAGTCTTGTAGAAGTCTTGATAAATCACAAGTTCTTTTTATGCTACGTCCAATCCTTGACCCTCTACTTCCTTCCTCCTAGTAGAAAAAAATACTTCCCTCTTCTAGCTGATTTTTGGCTGCTTCAGTTTAAACACAAAACACTTTCTTCCTTTCTCTCTCCCCCACATCCTCAAGTGTTTCACGGCAAAGCTTTTCTAGACAACTGCCTACTAAGGTTGTAATGTCAGCTACTACGCTGGGAAGATTGTTGTACAGGGTGGAGACCACTGCCTCTGAGCCATTAACTTAATCTGCTGTGAATCAACACTACTCAATATTTTAAACTGAAATGAGCACGTTGGATTGGCTGCTTCTTCCAGGAGACAGTGTTCCTCCAATTACCTACAGTAGAAGCAAAGGCACTTAAGCACTTTTAAAAGTTAAAACTGTCACTTTGCGTGCATTAAGAAACCTGCTGGAAGCAAGCATAGGACCTGGAATAGGATTACGAATATGGGTATACTGTAACTGCTCTTGCCTGTCAGCTTGACGACAGCTGCACATTACACAACTGTGGCGTTCAAGTAACCTCCAAAAGCAAACCAATATAAGAGCACCTTGCAATAGTCTATCGTCATGATGAAAAGACTCCGAATTACTATCACCAGGTTTTCTTGCTCCGAAAAAGGATGACAGCTAGAGAACAAAGTTGGGCAAAGGCTTCCTTGGTTAGCCCCCCACCCCTGTCTCTTTACCCGACAGTAGTAGTTCTGAGTGTAGAACATTTGAATCACAGCCCTGCCTTGATATAAATGGAGCAGCTAGTTGTTGGGAAAACGGAATTCTGCTTTGTTAGGATTAAAGTTCAGCCTCTTTTTGTCTCGTGGAGCTTTGTCCAGCTTCCAAATAGCAGGCCAGGACTTCAGCCTGCTATATCTCCATGGTACTGCATTGTACAGTCCTCAACGTACAACAGTTCGTTTAGTGAACGTTCAAAGTTACAGTGGTACTGAAAAAAGTGACTTGTGATTGTTGCAGCAGCTCCATGGCCATGTGATCAAAATTCAGAGGCTTGGCAACTGACTCCTGTTTATGACGGTTGCAGTGTCCTGGGGTCATGTGATCCAAGGCAGATTCACCTAACAACCGTGTTACTAATTTAACAACTGCAGTGAATCGCTTAATAGCTGTGGCAAGAAGGGTTGTAAAATGGGGCAAATTCACTTAATGAATTTCTCACTTAGCAACATAAATTTTGGTCTCAAAGGGGGTTGTAACTTGAGGACTACCTGTAGTTATGCAACCCATGGCTCAACAATTAAAGACCAAGGAGGAGGAGTCCAATTAAGCAGTCAACAGAAAAGTGAAGAAATATTAATTTGATATGCTGGCATTGTAGATATCTGCATAGATTACAAGTGACCTGAATAAATGGTTTCATGCTAATTATACTTCACTGTGGACAGATACTTGTCAAATGGTTAAAAAAACTGAATTACAATAGTAGAATAAAAGCTGTGAAAATGATGCTTCCTTTGAAGCTTTGTGGCACAAGGGGGTTTGTGCTACTGTCAGATAATTGATAAGCAGCTGAATTAGTGGGAAATTTTCAAAATTATACTTTTGTAAAAGGAGCCAAACATAAAAGCAACCTTCAGCAGAAGGTAGAGCTGGGAGAGATGAAATGTAATTTACATAAAACTCTCTTACAAGGACTATCAATACACCCTTTAGTCTCCAATAAGGGATCCTAAAAATCCATATGTTCAAATTGAGATTGTAGAGATAAATAACAGATCAGTACAGTACAACACAACACTATATTTTAAATACAAGTACTCTTCAACTGACAACTCACTGAAAAAAGTGACATGACTATTTTTCACACTTACAACCACTGCAAGGTCCCCATGGTCACCTGACCAAAACTCAGATGCTAAGCAACAGGCATGGATTTATCACGGTTGCAGTGTCCCACAGTCATATGATTTCCTTTTTACAACCTTCTGACATGCAAAGTCAATGATGAAGTCGGATTCACTTAATGACAGCATTACTAAGTTAACAATTGCAGTGATTCACTTAACAACTGTGGCAAGAAAGGTCATAAAATGTGGCAAAACTCACTTAACTAACGTCTCCCCTAGCAATAGAAATTTTGGGTTCAATTGTGTTTGTACGTTGAGGACTCCTTATAGCCAATTTCAGCATTACTCCCTCCAAACCAGTAGTAGATCATACTACGTATAATACATGCTGATACTATGCCATTACCTAAGCAAATCGATGAGGATTTTTTCAACTACAACACTTTTCAGATATTATATGATTAGTCATTTTGAAACTAAAGTTTCTGATAGGCACTCAAACTGAAAAGTAATTATTCAACAGTCACTGGATTTATTTATTAAAAGCTACCCTTTCTTCCCTAAACTGTCAATTTGGTAAACAAACTCAAGTATCTTATGAAGCAAAAGGGGCTGAAGGACAAAAGGCAGTAAAAAACAGCTTTTTAATGGGGATTATCAGAAGAGACCAAGGTTAAACATCTCCACCCCCTGCAAGCTAATTAGGACTGCTGAAGAAAGAGGAACGAAGCTGTTCCTCCCACCAGCAATCTTGATCAAGAACAATGAAGAGGTTTTAACCTCATTCCCAGCTTCAAAATTTCCTTCAGCAAGCATCACTGCTTTTTATTAGGGAAACTGCAGATACCATTAAACACATCCACAATGATTGTACACAAATGCAAAATGGAGGGGGAATAATCATTTCTGTGGAGAAAATGCGTGGGGATGTAGGGAGATTCCGTGTTCCTTTGCTTATAAGCTTTGCTTATGTGTCATCTTCTTTCATAAAGATTGTTCATCCCTGCATTAAGATGCAAAAGGATGTTTCAAAATTACTTTCACATGATCTGATTTGTGCTTCCATCACTTTACTTCCTAAAACATGTGACTGGAACTTAGCTGAACTGTAAGAAGTTTTATGTGGCTTTCAGACAATAATCAGAATTTCCCAAGGCCCACAATCTCGTAGCATTTGAAGAAAAAGAATTTGCTTTCTGAGGAATCTTTGTATCCCATTCCTTTCACATGATTGATAAGAACAGATGAAAGTAAAGTTTATTAGCCTCACTGCTCAAGAAGAGAAGAAAATTAATAGAACATGCCCAAATGGCATTTTTGTAAAAATAAAAATAAATGATGAGTATGTGCATTTTATATTTCACAAACGGCTTTATTTCTTTTTTAATTTAGATTGGTAAAACAAAGGAAAGCATGTTATTTAAAATGCTGTATTCAATCGTGTTCACAAAAATGAAACAAAAACAAAAACCATTCATTCCAATGCATTATTTCCATAGTAATACACTCAACTGTACTTAGATAATAAATATTAGGTACTAATGCCAATAACTAGTCTTTACTAAAACTAATAAACAGAATATTTTGCTCTCTGCTAAAAATTTTAAATTATATATTAGTTTACAAAGTCTAATAAACATACTTATATTAGTACTAATTAGTAGATTTATTATCAGAAATGATTTATGAATTAGATTATTTTCAGATATTAATATCTGTTTCAGCCATAAATTAATATACTTTTATACAATTATGTAAGCATATTACATCTTTTAATACCATAATGATTGTTGTAGGTGTTTATCTGATTAATGCTAAGAAATATTTCTTCTATACAGAAAAAGGGATACAACAGAAATATTTATAGTGGAATAAAGCATAACAAAAGATTTTATAATGATGTTTTGCTTAGTGCTGTATTACAGCAGATATATACACAACTTTCTCTTTCTTGCATCAGCAGAACAAATAGAAAGCAACCTTCAGTTGCAGATGTGCTGGCTATAAAAATAAACTTCATGTTAGGAACTCTTGATTGTGTATTTCACACATACAAATTAATGTAGTGCTGTTTTTGACAAATTGAACTCGTAGTGTCAAAACAGAATACTGGAATTGAACAGGACTGAACTGTTCATCAATTTCTTATTTACATTAAGAAAGATTGGGTTGGATTTTTAAGTTTTGCCTACCCAGCTCCAAAAATTGGAAAAAAAAAAAAAAATTAAAGAAACCCTCCAAAAGTAGAATGACAATTTTAATTAAGGGAAGTACTATCTATATTTAAAATGCATGGAGGCATCTAATTTCATTTTAAATATACAATATCAACTGGAATTATGACATGTTTGATTATTAAAAGAAAATAAATTCTCTAATACTTTTGATCACAATAGGTAAATGTTTGCAAATTTCCCCCCATATTGCAAGAGAGTTCCATTATTCAGTGTAATATTGTTCTTAGAGAAACAGCTTTCTCCTCATCTAAATCTGAACCCCGATAATCCTCATATTGGAATAAAATTGCATTATATCGCTGATGAGATTTGGAGGTAGCTGCTAATTTGATCACAAATCTAAGGGATTCAGTCCAGAATGGGTTGTTTTCCCTTATTCTCTCTCGTGCTGCAGAGAAAACTGAGCAATACAACATGAGACCATGAGATATAATCCATTCACCTTCTGCTACAGGACGGTCTTCCCTATAATACAAATAGATCTCTTCATATGGATTCCTTTAGCCACAACCTGGGGCAAGAACAAGGCTGGTAGAGATGCACCTTATAAAGTGAAATGCTGTATATCTCCTAAATTATCAAAGGTTCCAGCAACGGAAATCTCTCAGCTTCAAATATTAATGACATGTCATTCTCTAAGAGCAATAATTCCCTTCAATTTGTTTTAGGCTATTCTGTCATTCCTTTTATTTAAGTAAAGATGAGTTAACATCTTTCCTAATACCTCAGCATTCCCAGATAGTGAGGAATCTGAAGCATTTCAGCATTTCACAGGCCTAAGACTACCAAATCTCATCTCGGTGTCAATCTATCAATTTTATTGTGTTTCCTTGTAACATAAAATAGTCTAGAAAACATCTAGCAAACAGCAAAAGTCATGAACATATAATTTGAACACACCAGGGAAGTGTTGCTTTTGTGAAATATGATGCAAAATTAAAATAAAAAGGTAAAGATTTTTCAATCAAGCACCACTTCTAGAGCCTTCAGATCCATTCAGGGCTATCCAACCCTGACCTGCTTAGTTTCCTCACCCCACTAGGGGCTGCATCCCCTAAGACCACCATCAAACATTAGTGATTACTGGCATTTGCATGAAACACACGACTATTCAATTATCGGGAAAGAGCCGTTGGTTGTTTGGGAAAAGAAACCCAATTCAGGAAGCAGAAGGACCAAAAGATGGAACAGTCAAAAGCAGACACCAAGACAGGAGGGTTATTTTCCTATTAGTGACTCACAGTATTTTATAGGAGCCAGACAATTGAAGATGGGCATCTGAGGTGGTCAAAAGAGTCAAAATGGCAGCTTTGCCAGAATAAGACTTCCCTTCTTAAGCAGACACCTTCTTGTGTTTTGACCCATCTTTGCAGACAGCTCAAGGTCTAGAGGCTCAATTGTACAATGAATGGGTCAAGGAACTAAGGCGGTGATGGCAAATGTTTTCAACACCGAGTGCCCAAACTAGAATGCGTGTGCATGTGCATGCATCAGAGCACTGGAAACCCGAAGATCAATTGACTGGTGCATGCATGCCTGTTTTTTGGCTATTTTTGGCCATTTGGGGAGCTGTTTTCAGGCCATTTTCTGAGCCAAAAACGGCCCAAAAACCAAACTGAAAACAGCCCTGAAAATGGCCTGAAAACAGCCCAAAAATGGCTTGTTTTTTGGCTGTTTTCCAGTGCTCTGGTGCCCAAAAGACCAGCTGGCTGGCGTGCATGTGCGCACCAGAAACAAGAAGGGCAGCAGGTGATGGTGCACATGCCCAAAGAGAGGGTTCTGCGTTCCCCATCATGGAACTAAGGAATATCTAAGCTATTGAAGAGAAGTTTAGGAACAGAATAATAGCATCTTCCAAAACTTGAAGGGCTGTCATAGGGAAGAGAGCATCAATGTATTCTCCATAGGACCTGAGCAATGGGTAGAAGCTCATTAAAGAGAGACCCAACCTAGGAGTAAGGAGGAATTTCTTGACAGTGAAAACAATCAGTGGAACTTGCCTCCCATGGGGGTTTTCAAGAAGCGATTGGACAGCCATTTGTCCTGGATGGTATAAGGACTCCTACCTTGGGCAAGAGGCTAGATTAGAAGACCTCCGGAGTCCCTTCCAGCCCTGTAAACAAGAGTCATCTGAACCAGAGTGAACAAGTACTAAATTGCATCAATGGAGGCTTTCATGAAGAGAACGGACAGCCATTTGTTTAGAATGGTAGGAGGACTCCTGCCTTGGGCAGGGGGGTTGACTAGAAGACCTCCAGGGTCCCCTCTGACCCTAGGACGAAGAGACATCAGAACACGTACTAAATTGCACAAATGTAGTTTTCAAGAAAAGAATGTGACAGCCATTTGCCCAGAATGGTACTATAGGCAGGTGTCCTACCTTGGGAAGGGGGTGGCTAGAGTAGAAGACCTCCAGGGTCCCCTCCAGCCCTGGGATCCCTGCCAGCTCTATTCTATATTATATAGGAGTTGTTTTTTTTTTTAAATGATTTAATTTAAAAGCTACTGGACTATTAATAGGATAAAGGGAAAGGTTCGCACATATGTGCCAGTCGTTCCCGACTCTAGGGGGCAGTGCTCATCTCCGTTTCAAAGCGGAAGAGCCAGCGCTGTCCGGAGACGTCTCCG